GTACTTTATTTTCAATGTAGTATTCGATTACAAAATATGAGAAAATCAAATCTGCGTGGTGAGACACAATTTTTCCCACCAGCAGCTACGATGCGAGAAACGTCAGTGCCATGGAAGGACTGGAGAAGAGAGCAAGGAAAAACGGAGAAAAATGGAGAGTATAGGTAAAGCTTCGGCGAAAGCATCCCGACCTCAAAGAATTTCTAACCCGCTCAATTTGAGCGGGTTTCAAAGTCGCAGAATTGCCTCTCCTAATACCCCGCTAATGCTTTGGAGGTATTCCATTCCTTCTGCTTAAAATTAACCAAAAAGACAAATTTAGTAAAAATATGTTACTTTACCCTCCTAATTCAGGCAACCAAACAGCCCCCCTAATACACGCTTATACATCCGATGGTTTCCTTTTATTTCGTTCAAAATTACCCAAACAACCAAATTTAATAAATACAGGTAATTGTTTTACTTTACCCTCCTAATTCAGACAACCAAACAGCCCCTTAAAATCTTCGAGGACTTGTGGCTGTTAAGGAGGTACCGATAACTGCTAACCACCTCTTTCTTTCCGCATATCTCGCAGATGATCTATATATGTTCTTGAAATAATCGATCTCTCTCTTTTCTCAATCTTCTCGCTCGTCTCCCTTTTCACTTCCTTTGATTCATTGCTAATTCTATCGATCGACGCCGAATTGGGAAGAAGAAGGTAAATTCATCGATCATAAGCAATTATGTCGCTGGAAATCACGCCGGAAGACTTTTATAAGAATGCGACGGCGAAGCAGGAAAGAGTGTTCTGCTTCCATGCGATTATGACTACCTCGACGGGCATATGGCTCGCAGACAACCCTCTCTTGTTCTCCCTTCCTCTCCTTCTTTTTCAGATCGTTGTCGTCTTCATCTTCACACGCATCAGCCACTCCATCCTCCGGCGCCTCTCCATTCCTATCGTCATCTCGCAGATCATAGTAAGTCGCGCAATTCTCGGCTCTTCTAATTGAAATTTATATGATTGCTTTATGTTATAAAAAAAAAATTATTTGTATGTGCAGGCGGGGATTCTACTGGGCCCATCCTGTATGGGACGGATCAAACCCATCGAAAGGATTCTTTTCTCCCCTCGCAGCTGGGAACAGCTAAACACCATCTCGCTTCTCTCCTTCATGCTCTTCCTCTTCCTCATCGGCCTGAAAACGGACCTCAGCATGATCCCAAAAGCAGGCAGAAAAGCCTTCGCCATCGCCATCTGCACATCCTTCTTCCCATTCGCGATCATCGTCCTCACCGGCTTCCTCCTGAAATCCAGCATCCCCTTACGCTTCAAACAGAGATTCCTCATCACCAACTTAGCGTCCTCCTGGAGCATGACTTCCTACACCGTCGTGTCATGCGTCCTCGCCGATCTCAATCTCCTCACATCAAAACTCGGCCGCCTCGCAATGTCCGCCACTCTAATCACCGAGTTCACCAATCTCTTCATCACCGCCGTAATCGGCTCTTACTTGCTGGGAAGCAAGGGCGATTCTGCCCTAATGGGAGTGACATCAATGGCTGCTTTTCTAGGGTTTATGGCGTTTCTTGTGTTTGTGGCGAGGCCATTGACGATTTTGGCGATAAGAAAAACAACGCCGGAAGGTGGAATGCTCGATGAGGCGTGCTTTGTTGGGGTGATTCTCCTTGCTTTCGTTTGTGGGTTTGTGAGTGAGCTGATTGGGTATCATGCGACGATGGGGCCGTTTATGTTGGGATTGATGTTGCCGGGAGGGGCGCCATTGGGGGTGACGATGGTGGAGAAATTGGAGAGACTGGTGGTGGGGGTATTCTTGCCGGTGTTCTTGGCGTCGGCGGGGCTGAGGTTGGATTTGTGGACATTGGGGGATAGGGTGGAGGAATGGATGGTTTTGTTCTTCTATTTGATGATTGGGGTTTCGGCGAAGTTTGTCGGTGGGGTGGTGCCGTGCTTCTATTGCAAGATGCCGATGAGGGATTGTCTTGCCATTGGGTTGATGATGATTAGCAAAGGGATTTATGAGATCGAT